CCCACTCAAGGTAAGAGATTATAACACTAAAAATGGCACCATCAAGTGGCATTCAATCAGAAGGCAAAAACGTGAATGGATCAAGTTCGCTGCAGCCTGCCGTGAAGGCGAAGACAACTCAAAGAGGAACCCAATCGCCAAAGTAAGTATCAAGACCAAAGCATAAAATTGAAAATCAAAATGGATGGAGTTAAAGTTTAAAAAGAATCTTTCTTTTAAATATTTTATGAATATATCTCACTGAGATGTTGTGGTACAGAGCTATAGTTATTCAGATGATGAAAATTGAAGCCATTCAAAGGATCAATTAAGAAATGTAGGCACTCAGGTAAACAGTTAAACATTGAGTCACTTCACCGGTGAAATTAATAATATGATCATGTGTTAACCTCAACTCTAGATTTTAAAAATATAGTGATTTAAATAACCAACTTAACATTCAGCATATTCACAAGAACTATTTCAATGTGTTCTCTTTCTGCCTCATAATCTATTAGAAGTGAATTCCTACTTTTGTTTTGTTTATGAACATTCACAATGCACCCTCTTTCATACTCTTTTTCATTTCCCTTATATTCCTTTGTACATACACACACACACACACACACACACACACACACACACACACGTTCACACATATATACACAGACACTCCCCATACAATATTTTATTCAAGAAATGAGTCCTGGTTTCTGTAAGCATTTATTTGAAGTGGCCTACTTACTTTTCTGCTAATACATTCTCCCCATTTTCAGAATTAAGAGCTTCTACACAGAGTTTTATATTTCTTGTTGCCTACATAAATCCACTTAAATCTTCTTCTAAAACTACATTTTAAAACAAGTTTCGAATTGGAAGATCAATGTTATGTCATGACAGCATTAGCCAACTCCTTAAGAAGGCAAGGCGTTCCCTACTCTAGACCTAGTGCCAACATAGAGCCTGAAAATAATACAGTCATATTGTAAATACTGAACGAATGAATGCATGCATGAATGACGATTGCATAGACTTAAATTTATTAGGGTGATATTTTACTTTTTTTTAAGTTGATAGAAACACAAATTGAATTTCTTCTAATACATTGCCAGTTATCATTGAAAATACTAGAGCTGTAACTACTCTACTTATCTAGGAAAATAATTCTCTATTTTCAGAATTTCCCCCAAAATAACAAGGACAGCACATTCAACAATTCTCAAGAAAGACAGCTATCATGTATCAAACATAGCAGACTTTACTTACTCCCTGTAATATTTTCACTTGTGCTCTTTCTGCAGATTCATTCAGACTGTGCCGCAAACCAGCAAGTTACATACCGCATCTCTGGAGTAGGAATTGATCAACCACCTTACGGAATCTTCATTATTAATCAAAAAACTGGTGAAATTAACATAACAACCATAGTTGACCGAGAAGTCACCCCGTTTTTCATTGTAAGTGGGTACTATGTCAATATATAGGTTCAGGCCTAAATTATTTTTGGAATATCTTAAGCTCAGATCATACTTGATTTGATTTCAAGAGTCTCAGTTAGGTATTTTTGGTTGTCTCTTAATTCATGAGAAGCCCATGACCCAAAAGACACACAAAGAAGACTAAGACACAAAGGCTTGTTTTGATTAGGTGCCTTAGCAAAAATGCTAACCTCTGGCCTGGCCCCAAGTGGCAAGCTAGAGTATTTACTTGGAAGGGCAAGTACTCAATTTTTACTTCTTTTTCTTTAATTCAGTTGAGAACGTTAGTTCCGTCTCACTCCAATGCTGTGTGATGATTCTGTGCTACTTACTATGGGAGCCTTTTCTGACTGAACATACTTTATTATAAATACACGTTGCTCAAGCTGCCTGAGCACAGCGTGTGCNATGTTTCATTTTTACATTATCATAACTTTTTTATAAAACATTTCTCTTTCTAAGGTTTGGAAAATCATAATTTATTTTTACTACCGATTTTACCAGATGATTTAGATAAATGTTCTTTGGAGTTATACAGTCTATTTTTGCTTTAAAATACTATTTTTTTCTGAAAATTAACCACCACTACAGCAAATTATTCCACTTACCATTCTGCTAGCCTCACCATGAATGTCTACTTTCACCAAACAAACAAACACAAACAAACCAGTGTAAAGTGTTTATATTTTCTGCTCAAAGTCGATAAGTGAACATCTATAATAGGGAGCATATTCGGACAATTTTGAAGATCTTTAAGACACTTAAACTGGAACTATCTTCAATGCAAATCCATTTGCGTGCTGGGTGGCCATCTATTTGTTGTATAGTCTGCTTACTATATCTGAAGGTTTTAGACCTTGTTCAAATTAGTGTGCCAAATCAGGGAGCATAAAGATGAAAGAACCTGCTCTTACAGAGACCAAGATTGCCACATGACTAGTCCATTATTTAAACAAGTCTCCTGAACAGGCACTAACTTACACCTGTTATAACACAGCAAGACAAATAAATGTTACTGACTCTGCATTTATTTTTCTTTCTTTTTATTTTCGTGAAATTAGTGTATGGGAGGGGGAGGGGTTGGAACATATTCTAGGCCAGAGAACAATGTTATCTATGCATCAAAGAAATCTCTGAGAATGGTTGTAACAAATCTCTGAGAAAGGAATTGCATGGTCACTGTGGGAAGGCAAAATGGAGCCAGTAGAATGTTTATAGTTCTAATGATTTCTAAAAATTACTTGAATTTTGTTAGGTCCAACCAGGCAATTCAAATCAATACAGTAAATCTCAAGGTGTCTTTTGGATCAAAGCCAACTTCTACAACAAATAACTCAAACAAACCTATCTTTATCTACTACCAAGAATGACCTAATTTCTTCTGTTCATCATGTCAGCCTAGCTTCTTCTGGTTCCATATTTCCTTTCAAAAACAAAACAAAACAAAACTTTCTGACCATCTGATAAAGTAACTCCACAATTCGAACTTAGCTGAAATTAGTTAGCATATAAGCAGGAGTTTATCAGAGTATTTCTCAGCACTTGGGCTAAAATACACAGAAAGTAATATATACTTTATTACATAGTCTGTCGATTTATTTGAACCGAACATCTTAAATTCCCATAACTGTGTCCACTGATGCCCAAAGCAAAGGAAGGACTAACAAACTACTAGAGGCTAAACAGAAGACAAAAGAGGGGATTTTTAATGCTTTCTTGAGAACCTATTATAGTGATACATATTATAGATATTAGTTTTTCAGTAAATTTTTTTATAGAAAATGGAAGCAGTATTTCTGTTCACCTGTTCAGTAAAATATATAGATTGTATTCAAGCAAAATCACTTATATTACTATATGGTGTTCTTAACTGCAGGTTTCACTGCAGATTTAAAACCAGCATCTTCTTTCACCCTAATGAAAACAGAGAGTACAAATTGATCATCATTAAACTAGTTTTAGTTGTCGCAGAGTAAAAACATGTGCCATGTCTGATTTAGGTAACAGGAAAAACTAAAGCACTGGAAATGCTGTCTTGCTCAATCTGAAAGCTTGGCCCCTAAGGGACAAGATTCACCTATTTAACAGGGCTCATGAATCTAGAAAAATAACACCCTGTCTATACCCAAAGCCCTTGATTTCTGATAACTCTTTCTTCACTATACATTCTTCAAGGCCATTGTTACTGAATATCCCATTTCCTAACAGGCATTACCAAACATATAAGCAGGAGGCATGCTTAACATTGCAGTTAGTCTTATTATGCTCCTATCAATGAGGTAACACTTTTACAGAGTGTTGGATCATGCCACCCTGGCTGGTTATGTTCGGCATGCAAATTCCTGTAATCAACTTAGGCAGGTCAAAGTAGTTTAAATGCCATTGGCTGCCGATCCATGCCCTTATGAGAATTGGTCTATGGCAATAGAGCTGTCTTATACACTTATCTGATGAAAAACCACATCCCCACAAATTAATGGCTGCCTGTTGCTCATAAAACTACTTGACTGTAAGTTATTTGAGGGCAGGTTCTGTGTCTAATTCACTTGTATTCATCACAGTGCTTTGTACCAGTGCAAGATTACTCAATAGATGTCTAATCACACAAAGTAGAAGCATCAGAAAAGGATTTTTGGATAGTTTATATTTGTCTTCCCACACACGCTCCAAAAATCGTCAAGGTATTAAACATGGAAATAATCATGTTAAGTTTTCCTAACCCTCATTTTTATGGTGTAGTATTACATTTACTTTACATTTCATCTAAGGCTTACCATAATATTTTCAGGGTTTAAGCCCGTTAAAAGACTTAATCCAGCCTTGAAACCACATAATACATATTTGGCAGATATTTGTCAAATAAATAAATAAACCAATGAAAAAATAAGAGAAATGAACTCCACACTGATAGNAAAAAAAAAAAAAAGAATTTTGGGGATTTCTTTATCAAATTGCATCTTTCTGTACAAAAACAAAGTATATCTTCCTATTTATTAATGTCTACTTTATCTCCCTCAGGAAAGCTTAAATGTTTTCATGGTACAGTTTCTACACATTTCTTCTCTGCTTCATTATGAAGTAGTATACACTTATGGTTGCTACTATAAACCATTTTATTATATTTCTTTCCTTATATCCCTTAACTAATAATTCTTTAGATTACTGAATGTTGTTTATTAATTAGGTACTCAGCCACTTTAATAACTTTTTATGTCATTTGCAATATTTTTAAATTAATTCTGTTGGAATTCCTATGTAGAAAAGTTTATGATCTGTGAATAATCATAATTTTAACAATCTTCCAATATTTATATTTGATTATTGCTTCAAGAAAATATTAAATAATATTATAGTAGGATCTTTTTCCTGATTTTAATAAAAATGTGTTTACCTTGAATATCAACTATAATTGAAAAAAAAAAACCAGTCACAGGGATGTATAGTCAATAATATTCTAATAACTATGTGCAGTGTCAAATGGGTAATAGACTTATTAGGGTTTTCATTTTGTGAAGTGTATAAATATCTAATTGCTATGTTGTTTTGTACACCTGAAACTGATATAATATGTCAACAGTGATTGAAAAATATATTTAAAAAAATGTGTTTACCGTTTTCATACTCACACTAAGTATGGTAAATTTTTGTATGATATATCATTTTTATCAAGTTTGTAACCTTTCCATTTCTTTATTCTTTCATTTAAAAATACATGATAAAATATATCAAGCTTTTTAAAGCACCTATGGAAGCTATTTTTTTTAATTTTAGTTGTTACAATGGTTAAATAGTATAATCAAATTTTCTAACATTGAACCACCTTACATTCCTAGCTTCAATTGGTCTCCAAACTCATCTTTCTCTCTCTAGTTTCTTTTCTGTATCTATTCATCACAGTTTCCAGCACAAATTCCTTAAACACAACTTTGACTATATCAATACCTTACTCTAAAGCCCACAGTAGTTCTTTGTCTGCCGTCGAATATCATCCAAATTCCTCAGTAGGGCATTTAAAGTCCTCTACATTGTGTTAACTCATCAGCACTGCTTCCTCTCACAAATAGTACACTTAGGTGCAGTCTGACTCTTTTTTGGCCTGAAAAACACATTTTCCTTTCTGCCATCTTTTTCACCTACATCTTTATTTGTTGAGAATGTAATCATCCTGAAAATTTCAAAATTTACCTATTCTATGAAGTGTTCTCCAATGCCCATAATGTAGAAACTATTCCCCTTTTGCAGGGCTCATAAAACACTATAGGCCTTTCCTATAATACATATGTCAATGTGCCTTGTAATAGAGACAAGCCTCATCACCCCTTTGAGATCCAGTCAAGATTAAAGCTTTCTTGAAAATAGAAACTTCTATTACCTATTTTCATCTCTCCTGTCAACTAGCACAATCCCTAGTAGGGTTCAAAAAATGTTGGTGGAATTGAATTTTTAAAACCACAGTCAACAAAAATGAAGCAAACTTTTTACCTACTCAGAGGCTATACACACACCCCTGAGTGGAAAATAGTCTAAAGAAATATCAATCAGTATCTTACTCTGAAATATGCCAGTATTATCATCATCAAATGCAGGTTCTTCAAAAATGAAAGGCAGGGCTGGCCGAGTGGCGCGTTGGTTAAGAGTTGGCTTGGGAGCATGAGCTCTGAGCAGCAAGGCTCTGGTTTGGATCCCACATGAGGGCCAGTGACGCTGCGCCCCCTACAGCTAAGATGGTGAACAACAGTTCGACCTGGAGCTGGGCTGCCGTGAGTTGCCAGCGATGACATAGGCTGCAGTGGGGAGCCCTGCAGCGGGCATGAGCTGCCGTGAGCTGCCATGAGCTGCCATGAGTGGCTGTCCAATGGTTGGCGAGCAACTGCCTCATCCGGGAAGAGTGCAATGACAATACCAACAGGGGCCAGTGAAGCGACGTCCTCCACAACTAGACTGAAGAACAAAAGGACAGCAATTTATCTCTTACCCTC